GCTACCTGGCTTGAGGCGGCGATACCAATCGAAGGCGGCTCCGCGAAGAGTGCCGACGAATGACCGCACCATCAGAGGCTCATTGCCAGAGATTACTCCCAGGTGTGATTTGAAATAAATCACATGCTGAGTGGGTGAACCCTTCCTATCAAACCATTAGCCCCACTTAGGAGCGAATTAAGGAGGTGGTTACACCCCTTAATCCCCTATAAATAACTGAAAATCAATTCAGTTCGGGGGGCGGTCTGTTGGATTTTCTTAGCAGCGAAAAGAGGATCCTTCATCCTTCGGTTGGAGCTTTGGAGATCGGCAACAAGATCTTCTTTATCCTTGGCTTATAACCGACTTTCGGTTAAATCAACTCTTTCATAGAGTTTTAAACTCGTTCAGAGTTCTCCACAGCGTCAAATTGTGAGGAGAAGACCACGTTCCAGTGAAACAAGACATCGGATCGTCAACGAGAAATTACCACCCCCTGCATTGACGGGAGGATTATTGGCATTGTGAGCTTCATCCGTATCCGTGTGCTCCTCTTCCTGAACGACCTGGTTACGACGGCTTGGTTCACCTTCCTGGTTCGTCAGTGCCTGAATTTGTTGCTCATGCATTTCTCTCATACTCTGCATGGCCATCTGCATTTCGAACCTGAAGCTCTCCTGTTGTTTAGCCATGGCTTCTTCGAGCATCTTGGCCACTTGTTCCGCGCTTATCATGAATGACTCGCGGGGTTGTCCTTCGCTGGACACCGTATTGTCTGATGCGACAGCCGAGCAGGAATCCGATTCTTCATCTTCTGACGGTAATCTTGTCCGAACCCTACCCTAAGGCAGAGCAGGCATCTGATTCTTCATCTTCTGAAGGTGTTCTTGTCCGAACCCTACCATAAGTTCCTCGTGTAATGGCTCCAGACTGCAGACGAGTTAGATACCAGGGTACTTCCGGAATTGACTCGGGATTATCCCTTGTCGATGCCCTTTTGCTGGTCATATTGGTAGTGACCCTCGGAAATTCTCCATCTTCAACCACCGTTCTTCTTTGCCGGAAACGCCTATGCCTTGGTTTTGGCGCTTCGGTACTAAGCCTTTTGAACACTGAAATTCTCTCGGGGACTGCCTTAATGCAGTTGCACTCAGATATCTGTTTGAAAGTCGGAGCAACCTATCGTGTGTTGGCACGATTTCTCAGGTATAACGCAATCATCATCAGATGATAACGTTTCCTTCTGAGAGCGAATTACCTTCTTCGGACTTTCGAGAGTCACGCGCCTCGAAACGCGCCTTTGTGGGCGTGAATTCTCAACGGGCTCCTGAACTTCGATGCGCAAAGTAGTGCGCTTGGGTGCCACGATTTCTTTGTCATGTTGAGGGTTGCGGCGACCCCTATCATGTTGATTTGTTCGGGGTTTTCTTAGCTGGCCCAAACGTCCTTGGATTGGAGTTTTGCTTCGCTCCTCGGGAAGTGGACCGAGGCGCTCCAAGACTGACTTCCTTTTCTGGGATGGTCCTGCGGGATCTCCCGGAGCAGTTGTGGAAATCATCGGCGGTCTGGATTGATTCGCCGGAAGTTGAACTTTCGATGGAGGCTGCTTCGGTCTCCATACTTGGCGGGTTGGTAATGGCTTTTTGGCCACTCTTTCTTCCTCCAA